GATTGCTCTCAATTTAACAGTATCAGTGGGTACACTCAATGGTCTATTGTTCTATGCTAACATTGTCAAGTTATACGAGCCAGTCTTTTCAAGGAAAGGAGCATTACCAGTCTTGAGTCAAGTGATATCATGGATTAACTTAGACTTTGGGTTTGAGATATGTTTTTACAATGGTATGGACAGTTATGCTAAACAATGGCTCCAGTTTGCTTTCCCTATCTACCTGTGGATAATAATCTTCATTATTATACAATTGTGTAGGAGATATGGTAAGATATCAAGACTGATGGGGTCTCATGTTGTTCCTGTTTTATCTACACTTACTTTTCTCTCATATACTAAACTAGTACGTACTATTGTTATTGTACTACACAAGCGTGAGGTAACTCTTCACTGTACAGATAAGTCAGTAAGATCAGTTAGTTTATGGTATGAGGATCCTAATGTTGAATATGCTAAAGGGAAGCATGCTGGACTATTAGGATTTGCCGTATTGGCATCTCTTTTCTTTGTCATACCATACACACTGTTCCTTTTATGTCATCCAGTACTTGAAAAGTATTTGTCACATTTTAAACTGTTTAAGAGCTGGAGTCATTTCAAGCCTATTATTGATTCTTATAGTGGTCCAATGAAAGATGAGTATCGGTTCTGGCCTGGTCTACTGCTAGTGACTAGGATACCAGTAATTTTAATTGTCACCTTTTTGCAGAATGAATCACGTGTCTTGCTATTGGCAGTAGCAGCTATTATCCTCTCCCTTAGTTTTATCTTTGGTGGTGTGTACAGAAAGAAATTAAACAATCTTATTGAATTTTGGTTTCTTTTGAACTTGTGCATCATAGCTTCTTTATCATTGGTCTTTACTGATGAGAGTAAAGTATTGATCTGGTACAATACTTGTTTATCTGTTTTTATTTTTAGTTTTATTTTGATTGTTGTTTATCATCTTTACCTGCAGTTATCACATATGAAATGTTATGATGCTCTAATTAAGAAGTTATTTAAGAAACAAGATAAAGATGATGACAATACTGAATCACATAAAACTGTTGATCAACAAATGAAAGAAATTGTACCTAGTTCTACTGATGTTAGACTCAGTGATAGTCGTGAATCAGTTGTTGATTTGTTTTAATCATAATCTTTAGTAATTTTTGCTGCCACATTTATTTTAGTACTTTTAACTACTTTAGTTTTAAAAGCAGTAACTATTAGGTCTAATGTATTTCTTAATAATTGTTATAGATGTTCAGTTAATAATTCTATCTGTTATGAATTAGTATTGTAATCCATTGCTATTTTTGTTGCTATTCTTTGTTTTTGATAGATGCTTCCTTTATAAACTATGTCAATAACATGTGCTTGTTAGTCAATTTTTGGGGCATTTAATTTGTTACAACGTCATTGTATGTGAACATTGTACAGGTACACGAACATGTAGATCTCTTTCTAAAATTCAGTTTGTTAAAGTAGCTACATGTACAATATAAGTTTGTAGGCAATAGATAAAATAAAATATCAGAAATGAAAAATTTTAGTTTGTTGTACCTATAACTGGTTGCAAAATAGTGTTGTACAAATAAGAACATTGCTACAGGAAGTCATAAACTTTCTATACGGAACTTTTTGTGTAGAAAGTTTGAACTGAATTACAGTTTTTTTTAAATTAAAGTTTCTCAAAAAATAAAACCAAAGTTCATCAAAAATTAAGACGAGAAAATTTTTCATTTTTATAATTCTCCTCTTGCATATTGCTGCATAAAACGTTTGAACAATTTTGATCAAAATAGGATTGTTTACGAATTTTAAAGTTGCTTAAAAATTGAGTCACTGTGCTAATAGTACAGGGTTATTAGCTAAAAATGACAAGGCCAGAACTCATACATGGTCTTATACTGCATAAAAGTTTCAATAAATTCCTATCAAAGTTAAACTTTTTAAGAATTTTAAAGTTGCTCAAAAAATTAGGCCAAAGTCCCTGTACTATTATAGTACAGGGTTATTGGCCGAATTTAGCCAAAAATTACAAGGTGGGAATTCTCTGTTTTTTAAAATTTTTCTGATACATTATGCATGTTCTTATGATTCAGTCACATAAACCACCACATTCATCTGTAATGCAGCAAAGCAGAATGTCATTTTAACTAACTCTGACCTCTCTCTTTTTTATATATAAAATCAGGATAAATACATGTTGCATATACTGATAGTGACTTAGTGCATGAATCACAACAAGTGTTTTATTTTTTTGTTTTATTTATTAAGTGTTTTATGTAACAAAATGCACTGATTCCTCAATTTCAGCTGTTCTATTGTGCATTGCAAGATTCAGTATAATTATAAAATTATTATTTAAAAAATTTTAATATTCTATTGAAATAATTTGCTTAAATTGAACAATTGAGAATTTTCTCATAGTCAATTTTATGAAAGATCAGTAGGCATATAGTGCAGGGTATTTTTTGTTAATAACCACACATCCTCCATATAAATAGCCATGCATTGATCCAATTTCTTCAGTTCCAAAATAGTTCAAATAGTTCTCTCATTCTCATTCTCTTCTTCTTCAATTGATTCGGTTGGATAGTACCACTGGTATATAGTGTGAGCTACATTGTTCATTCATTCCTTATTACTTGATCTTATACCGGGGTATTGCATGATTCTTTCTATAGTTATTGTTAATTTCCTCTTATTCTCTCTTTTCCTTTATTTGTACAGTGTGTTATCCCTGTTCTTTTGTTCATCCTTTCTCTTACCTCTTTATTTTTATTGTGTATGTCCATCAGTCTGTCTCTGTTTTCTTATTGTTTGTAACTGTTTTTATTTTATTGATTTTGCATGAGACTATATATACAATAACAATTTGTAGGAGAAGGGAAGAACAGGAGAGGCTGGGGAACACTGAGCAGCTTATCATGAAACAATAACAATAGATAAATACAGTAACAACAATGACATCACATTCAAACAGAGAGAGAGAGAGAGAGAGAGAGAAAAAAGTACTGTATACTGCACCAGGATGTGCTTGCCGTCATGTTAATATCACAGAATATTACTACTATATAGAGTCTATCGGTGTTTATTAATTGACCAATATGAATTACCGTATAAGTGGTATTTTTCGAGGGTTGCAAATTTCGCGGATTCCCTCTAGATTCGTGAAAATAAAATCCGTGAAAATCAATTTAATACGGTACCCGCATGACACACGTGGTAGAATTCACAAAATTAAAATCCGCAAATTAGAATATTAGCAGATTTCGCGAAATATAATTCCCTTGGAAAAAACCACTTATACGGTACAACAATTATTAGTACTATATGGGGGTTAATTATGTCCTTTATATTTGATATTCCTTGCATAGATCTATCTGTTCTTATTATCTTCTAAATGTTCATAATGCATAAGCTCAATTAAGCCTTAATGAATGCACTCCATAAATTGCAAGTGTGCATGACAGTGAGAGTAAAATAACATTATAAACAGTTTACATGATTCTAATCATAATTTTAATAGTTCTTCTGTTAATGGTATGAACTACGGTATATTTATTCACATGTTACTTCTACACTATTTGTAGTCAGTGTAACTAATACAAACACCAATAATTCATCAGTACTAATATTTTCAGGTTTAGCAAAACATATAATAATTATAAAATTCTGAGATGCTATTTCTTACAGTAATAAGTATTAGATGATTTAGATCTATAATGAGTAAGTACTATCACCCAGGTCATCACAATACAAGATACCACTTCAGTATTGACAATATTCGCAAACACACAATCAGCAGTTTTAAGTAAGCAGTGTCTTACAGTATATTCTTTAATTAGGTCCATGTATTACTACAACAATATTACCACAATCAACAGATATAGGGTCCATCAGTGGTTAGTTAATGATACATTAATGTATGTACATATCTACTGTATCTATTATACACACACATTCAGTTGCTATTGCAGTACCAATCATTATAACAATAAAAGCCCAAAGAGGTAGTGGAAGACGCATTGCTGTTTCACTAGGAGATGGTGTTAATAGGAGATGGTGTTAATAGGAGATGGTGTTACACTACACAGACGCATTGCTGTTTCACTAGGAGATGATGTCATACTACAAAATGCTAAAAATATTTATTCCAATAAATAAATGAAAATATAAAAAACTTACAGATAGTTTCCATTATTGTTGTCACTGATGGTTCTATGCATACAAGATCTAAAGATTCGAAATTAGAGTAATACATGATCATACGAGTAGTTTCTTTGAGATACTTACTTATTGGACCAGATTTAATTGTTGAATTAACAACATTACTAATATTAACAATGTATGTATAACTTCGTCCACAAGTAATACCAGTACCACTATATTCAAACACTCTCATTTGGGTACAGTCTTGATCATCATTATATGATTCGTCATCTGACATTAGACTAATATTACATGATGTAATAGAAAGCTGATCTTCAACGGAATCCTATAAGTTGACATTAAAAGATGAACACAAGTAAAACTTTTGAGAGGCTAAAATTCAGAGCCATTTGCTAAAATTTAATAAAAACAAGATCCCAAATTCCTAATGACATACAGTAGTTCACATTCTGGTTGTTGAGGGCTCAGTACATGCATAATGTGTACAAACAAAATTCATAACACAGTTACTACATTATAGCTGGTTAATTTCATAAGAAATAAATTTTCCTGTAAACTACTAAATTTTTATTAAAAACAAATATAAATTCCATAACAACAAAAATAAATTTTAAAACAACCACAGAATAAAGCAGCTGTATAACAAAACACAGTACAAGATGATTTATTGGTGAGAAATAAATATTGGCGATTGACGGTTCTATGAAGAAATCGCCAGTATAAAATCGCCATTTTGCTTCAATCTGAGCATGCTCAATGGCATGTGGCACAAAATCGCCAATATAAAATCTGCCAATTTCTTTCCAGAAGCAAATTTTCCAAATATTACTCCCGCCAATAAATCATCTTGTACAGCATGGCTATACATACTAACCTGAATTATAATTGAAATAGTACTTGAGGTATAATTAAAACTAGAACTGACTCTGATGATATCAGGTGCTGTATAAAAATAATGATTATAAAGTATCAAATCCAATAGAAAACTCACGTCTAATATGAACTTTAGTTGTTGCAGGTTTACCTACCATCATTCCAAAGTAGTCAATGCTGCTCACACTAATTGTGTAAGTACCAATGTCAGAAACATTGTACTCATAGCATATGTCTTCAGTTATATTGTCATACAGAGGTTGATCATCTCTTGTAATATTCAATTGATAAGAAGGAGCACATACAGCATTTGGCCAACAGATATGAATAACAAATTCTGATAAAGAGCTTCCTATAAGCTTCATAAGAATGAGCTGAACAGGTGATGAATCTAAACAAACAAGTAATTAAAAACATTAAAGAATGGAATTGAAGTGAAAGAAACAAAAGGGTCACTACTTGTAAATTGGTGTAGTAAAAAATCTTACTCCATTGTACCATTATTTCAGCTCAAGTTACTAATCATTTCCTACCAGTGCAGAAATCTTGTGCTGATGACCAATTAATAATCAATAATCCTGACTCTCCGTAAACTTATGAGAGGCAGGCCTGCCTGACTAGGCATGCACAGCTAATATTAATTGTAAACTCAATCCCAGGCTAATGCCCATAATACAAGGGGTGATTTCTTCATAGAACCGCCAATCACCAATATTAATTCCTCGCCAATAAATCATTTTGTATGGTATTCTATTTTTAATTATCTGATTACATGTATATCTTCCTGATAAAGGTCTTGATTGCCCAGTTGCAAATGTACCTTATAGACCACCCTAGGCATATGTTATGAATTTATTTTTAGTGATGGACAACTCCGAGTGGGATGTATTCAATCCTTTGATTCTGAATAAAAATGTACTCATATCGAAAGAGATGTGGGAATTGCTTGAAAAAATTCCAAATTAAGCCACACCCAACCATGCCCTTTAATTTTAATAATACGTGTAGTTAATAAGCCAGTAATTAATACATTATAATTATTCATCATCATTGCATTTTAGTGCTGTAATAGATAACATGTGGTTTTGCGCATGTGCACTAAGATGTAGCACTCAATATCAGTTTCAAAAGCATTTGGAATCAGAATCAATTGCAAATTTCTGGATTCACCCGTCTCTATTAATTTTATATACAGTATGCACCCACATATCGAAATTAGCTATGGTTGGTTTCAGTTGAGAAGAAACAGAAGTAAATCAATGTTTTTATCATTAGAACATCACGTGTAGCCCCACCCAAGCATGGCTACATTGTGCAAGCTCTTTCATTGGCCTCGCCCAGTTTTGCATAGGCGAGGACTAGGTACTCGGTGTGTCTGTCTGTCATTCATTCATTCTGTGTGCTATCTTTTGTCTTTGTGAATATATATCTTTACAATCGTGCCCTCTAAATCTGTGAGAGCATCTTTTCTGTTAGGAAAAGTCTGGTTTTTCTGCCTCGAGATGTTTAGAGAGCAGCTCTAGGTAGCAGAAGCATTTTAACTCAAGAGAAAATGCCCAGCAATATCGGTAGTATTCTGGAGGTAAATGACACTCTTTTCCAGTAAATCAAGACTATTTATTCATTTAATATGTGTGGAACTCCTTCGATCTTTCTTGTTGGTGAGTTATATATAGCTACTCGAATTTCATCCCGACTGAAATGCAGTAGTAGCAGTTCGCTGTCTAAGGATCTTAAACTCTCTTAAGTCACTCAATCTATCTAGGCAATAGTATTTGTGCCATTATAACATCTTATAGCGCTTAGAAGAGAAAAAAATCTGAAGCTTTCTTCTCACATGGTCTTGCTGCATTATTGATAATTGATGCAATGCCTCCAAGCTTGGAGTTGTACAGCTAGCTTGCCACTTCTGCAAGCATGCAAGAGCAAGTGTAACTGCAGCTAGGAAGCTAGCTGTTATGATAATCCCTTGGCCTCAGGAGCACACTTTCTAAATTTTTTGTACAGTATGTTTTTGATAGATAGTGGCAGCTGTGGTTTTGGAACCCATGATGTTGTTTTTAAAAATAAGATTGCAATAGTGTAATCATGTGATAAATCTTGAGATGCTAGTAGGAATTGCATGATGATCCAATTTTTTCAGGGACTTCAGAGTTCCATCATACTTTTCACACTTGCCCTGTCTGTCACTTTTGATTTATATTATTTAAATAATAATAAATATACTGGCTTGGCTAGCTAAGCCTAACACCTCCCCAAACAGCTTTAGGGGTGAGGCCACGCACCTTTGGTGTCTCGTTCTTCAAGCGTTTCTTCTCCTTTAACTTACTTTACTATCTATCGTATTTCTATAGTGCATGGTTGCTGTTACCTCTATCTATCCTCTTCTTGTTTTTGGTGTCTGATTTTAGCTGGTATAGAGCTCGGAATACAGCTGAATCAACGAGTGTACTGGCAATGAAGAACAACTAAGATTGAGAAGGCTGTGGAAAGGCTCCTAGTTGAATATTAGTAGGCCTAGAGAGCTTGATATGCTTTGTTTTTTAATAAAAAACATTATTTCTGACTAAATGTAATAAGATGCAAATGATATTCATTGGAGTGATGCACACAATTTGGCATGGCGGCTCCCTTTCATCTCAAGTGGAAGAACCCGTTTAGAACCTTCCAGAGTACCTAGAAACTCAAAAATTGATGAGGATTTTTGGAAGAGCCCGTTATGCAGCTATACCAAATTTCGAGTTGCTATACCATTAGTGACAAGAAAGTTATATATAAGGGTGGTGGTGCATGGTTTCTTCTTAACTGAAACAGACTATACCATAAATGGCAGCAGGAATTAATTTCATCCTAAATCCCACCTTACAACCGTAAAAATTTCTCATACGCAATCATTTTCGTCAGTCAAAAATTTTGTCAAATTTGCCAGGCATTTTTGCTTGACAGAGATTGGAGCTATACAGTAGCTACATACAGGCTATATGTAAATGATATACCTTGAAAGTATAATGTTATATTTGATATAGTGGTGTTGAGAGAGCCAAAGCCACCATTAGAACATTCAAGTGTTGATCCGTTTACGGCACTAGCATTGGTTAGGTTAGCAACTGCTATTGATGTAATAACACTTCCAGCAACACAAGTGGCTTTTGCACTGAATGGACTCGGAGATCCGAAAGCAACTAGAGGACCATTAACTTCAGCAGGTAACTCACTTCTCCCAAGATTACGCCATCCTAATGATCCTATGCCAGTACCACCATCAACGACACAAGTCCAAGTGGCAACAGCTCCTACACAAGGTTTACCACTTGTCAATGAAATATCAATGCTAGATCTAGCTGTAAAGGGAGTAATATGAACTGTGTGAACTAAAACTAATAGTACTAACCGACAGAAGAAATAATCATTAACAAAAGCAGAAGCAATACCATCACCATCTCGGCCAGGTGCAGAGACTGCGGACAACCCGGCTGAACCCGCCCCAATTAAAATTAATAATAATTATTATTAATTAATTATTATTACATGATTATTACATGAACATAGATCTAATATGAACATAGCATAACATAATATGAATAATATAACTTGGACTAGATCTACATCGCTACAGTTGCCTATGTGACTTCTAGCTACAGTACATGCTTTGTAAAGGCTAGACAACAAAGGTAGATCAAGAACTGCACTAGAGCTACATGCACTCTGGGCCATCAAGTTCTGAGCTGCTTAAGTTCAATCATGGATGAGTATTATATATACTGTAGTCTGTCAAGTGTCAAGATGACAAGATCTACTTGCTCAGGCTCACCCCTTTACATACACTAGGCAACATGTTGCTAGCAACATTTGTGCACGGTTACTTTGATCGTAAAGCCCACCACATGATCCACTATTCAACTTTGTTGAAAGAAACTTTGTGATGTGCTGTCAACTCTGTTGCCTGAAATAGAACTGACTTCTATTTCAGGCAACAGAGTTGCCCTAAGATCAAAGTAGCCACACAGTTGCTTTCAACAAAGTTGAATAGTGGATGGTGGGCTTAAAGCAACATGCATGTTGCTTTGTGCATGGAGGCCTAATTTACTCTAGTAGATCTAACTATTATAATAGAGGCGTATCTCTGTTTCTATTGTCTAGCTGTGTGGGCGTATAAGAAGAACTTGAAGTATACTGTGAAGACACTACGTTTCTTTTTAAAAAGGATGACAATGATTCTCCTTCTTCTGGATTTGATTGCATTTTGTGAGTACATTCAATAATTTGATCCTATTTTCCTTTAGCATCTGCAGCAGTATTGACTCAAACCTCTCCATCCTATAGTCCAGTGTGTCCTGGTGATAGACTAGTACTGACTTGTATAACTGCAGCAGCTACTGAAAAGTCTGGAGGGCTAAGTTCATTTTGGAAAATAAGGCCTGGTCATGAATCTCAGTTAGAAGTAACAGGACCTGCAACTGTTGCTGGTTTTATGTTTAATATTGCTAATCTCAACAGTACTGCAACAATAACTACTGCTATTTATGAATCAGTATCAGAGTCATTGAATGCATCTATGATTGAATGTACTGGAATTTCATTTATTCTTGATCCACAATCTGATGTAGTAGCTATTTATGTAACAGGTCAGCTCACGAGATGTGATATTTATATATAGATTATTATACCAATAATAGATCTAGATCCACCAGTGGCTGTGAGTAATATAAGTATTATTCCAATTAATAATAGTGTAATGTTTATTAATTGGTTGCATCAGAATCAACAGAACAGACAATGTATAAAGTATTATAAACTTATAGTTAACGACAGCAATGGTTCATCTACTCAATTCAATTCTACTGGGAACAATCCTAATATAACTATTGATGATCTTGAAGTTGATACTAATTATTCATTTGTTATTATTGGTATTGATACTATTGGAAGAGAAGGACCTCTTTCATCAATTAATACAGTATATATGGAATGGTAAGTACTCTACACACACACTCATTGTATTTCTTATAGTACCAGCTCAAGTTGTTAATATTAGTTGGGATCAGATATCAACTGATAGCATTACAATAAGGTGGAATAACAATGAAGTATGTTAATTTATCATTAATTATGTTTAGTGATAATATTTAGGACTATTCTACTCTACCAGTTCCTCCAATTCAGTATTACATTATTAAAGTATACAACAGATCAAATAGTATCATATACAATAGTAAAACTAATGATACTAATATTACTATTACTGGACTACCTCTTACTGATACGAACTACACTGTTAGTATCATTCCTGTTAATGTTGTTGGATGTGGACCATCAGTCACTGTTAATGGTTAATTATAATTAATAATTTATTTATCTATACATGTGTCATTCATGTAGTCAATATAACTCTTACAGTGACCAGTAGTTCAGTTAATAATGCTCCATCATCAGGTCTGTGTAGTTAATACATTATGCATTACTACATATTATATTGTATAATCCTTATCAGTTGCATTAAAAAAATACTGATAATAGTACCAGTACATCAGTAATAACAATTATAGCTTTACCAATAGTTATAGTGTCTTCAACAATTAATCAACAATCATCATCTTCTTTTATTTCAGCTACAGGTACATCAACTGGAACAACAGTATCAACTACTGCTAGTGGTTCTAACGCTGTTCCTATTATATCAGGAGCTATTGGAACAGTATTTATTATAATAATAGTAATGACTGTTATATTAATAATAATACTGGTATATGCTAAAAGACACAGTAAGCCTATTAATGTTAACTATTGATGATTTAATTCTCATTTATACAGGAGTAAAGAACAAAGAAAGGTTAAGTGAAATTTATATTAATAATTTAACTTTTCTTATTATTAAAATAGTCACACAGCAAATGGTAATGAGGTAATACAAATACACATTTTTATTATAATATAAGTTTTATAATATCCTCAGCAGACTAAAGGAGTGACTGGCAGTTCATACAGGAACAATAATATTGAAGTAAATTAATAATAATGATCGATCCTTGTTTATTAAGAGTGAAGGATAGAACTCCTTCTTTCGGTTCTGATCCTCCAGTATATATAACTATACTGTAGACTGAGCCCATCATTCATTATATAACTACTGTAGACTGACCCCATTCAATATGTTGCTATGTTTCATTCATTAGTTACAACCTACTGATCCTACTTATGCTACTCCTATCACTTAATATACTGTAAGGACACTACAAGGAGGAGATGGACCACCTTCTTATCAGCCACCACATCCTACTAGTAAGCACCTTTTAATGTATTTTTAGAATTTTGGGTCATTTCAAATGGTCATAACTCAAAACCTTTAGTCAGAATCAGTTCAAACTTTCTAAATAGCATAAGGATATGTATTAGAAAACAGTAAAAATTAGGGGTTATTTTAGAGCCAAGTTTTAGACAAAAAGCATGTATACTAAACAAGTACATGTTAAATAGCAGCAGCTCATAGTTTTAGTGTATCAAGTACATCAACAGCTTATTTCTATTGTATTACAGGTAGAAAAGTGTTTGATAAACTACGTACACAACAGCATTTAGTACACATCACTTTAATACAATGAATATATCAATCCACATACACCATATACACCAGCACATACCGGTACTTATATCCAGTCATCATTTAGTGAACATTAGCAAGAATAACATTTACCTTCCTATACCTGTCATGACACATGAACCATATGTGTGTACAAGTACCGCACAATGAACTGACATCAGCCTACATAGAGTAATCATATGTTTTACTGTGACTTACATGAACTAGCATGATAGACAAGAGGACATGATAGAATGATTGACAATGTGCTTAAGCACAGGTTCCATAGTGATCAGTTTTAAGCATAGATTCAGTAATTGTTACAGTATAATATTATTATTAATATGCAATACTCAATAGGTCAATACAGTGTTCTTAAAGCTAGTGATGATGATGGTGATGATACTCCCCCACCAATACCAGCCTATAATCCTAATGGAGTACAAGAATACTCTAAACTGAGGAGAGAGGGAGAGGTGGGTAGATAAACAATAAACAAAATACCAGACATACCATAACAATGATGTATAATAGAAAAAGAATAAACAACAACAACAAGGAGGTGGTCTACTTTATTCAACACTCAATCAAGACGATGATACTCCTCCTCCTGTACCACCTGCTTATAATCCTGAGAGAGTACAGGAATATTCTGTATTGAAGAGAGAGGGAGAGGTCAGTGATTAATGAGAGATTGTTTAAATGGATATTATTATGTATCATTAATAGAATAAGGGTCAACAGAGTCTGTCTACTGGTGCTACTGGATTATATTCAACCATTAAGGACACTAACAACCAGGTATGATGCACATCAGGTATAATGAACTACATGTACATAATGTATCAGGTATAATGAACTACATGTACATAATGTATCAGGTATAATGAACTACATGTACATAATGTATCAGGTTTAATGAACTACATGTACATAATGCATCATATAAAGGAAGAAAAGAGAGGTAATGGATGAATTGAGTACATCCTTTTAGCTGATAATGTAATAAGGTGAACCTATCTCGATGCTTGATGCAATCTGATATAATAGTGGGCCCTATACAGCCAGTCAGTGGGTGGACAATACTATCAAATTACACTCTTAGTAATGTCATCCTAATTACACCATAAGTACATGTACATGTAAATGCATTAGTAGAAGGTAGTTACATTAGTATAAGGTACATGTTGTCATATTCAATAGGTTTTAGTTGATGAATCAGCTCATAAACCAGTGTATGCTGATCTGGCTATTGCTGCTAAAGGGAAGAGACCACAGGCAGCACCAAGACAAGAACAACCAGTGGTATATGCATTAGTTAACAACAAAGTAATAATAATGTACATGTACATGTAACAAATGGGTATCTTTTCCACTTTATTATGCAACCACTATCTCTCTCTTTCTCTCCCGGCCCTAGTCTGTTCCTCCTCCCATTGCTCCTCCACCTGCTCCTGATAAATATGCAGCAGTCAATGGAAATGTAAGCCATTACACTATACTGTATGGAGTAACACACCCTTCTATCTCTCTCTCCCCCCCTCTCTCTCTCCATCACTCTCTTCCTCTCTCTCCAGAGGAAGTCCACTACTCAAGAGCTGATCATGAATAGGTTAGGTGGTCTGGATATTCCTCCTCCAATACCACCAAAACCAAAACCTTAAATATACTCCAATACCTTATACCAGCTCCTCTTCAGTAGTATGTACATGCATAATGAATTAGATAACAATTGTCTCTAGTATCATGATCATGCATGGGTATATCGTATTATTATTATTATTATTATTATTATTATTATTATTATTATTATTATCATTATTATTATCATTAGGAGCATGCAGTAGTAATTCTGATTATTATAGTTTTAGCTCAGTATAATGTGTGTGTGTGTCAACAGTATATAATTGCTTTAGCTACCACTTTATAAAAACTGTTTCTTAAACCATTATTTCATTCATTTTTGTATTTTATTATCAGTTTTTACTTCCTTATTGTATCATTTGAAATGGTTAGTTATTATAAACATATTCATGATTATTATTATTGTCAATTACTCTCAATGAACAATCCATTGTTTATTATAATGTAATGAATGTGTACTGAACTGTCAATTATAGTCTCATGCCCCGCAAAGCGAAGGGGCTGGGTGACAAGACTATGACTATAAATAACAATAACAACAACAATAGAAGTAATATGAACATACAATATAACTAATGGAGAATACAATAAAACAATAACAGTAATCTTGTACTTATAACAATAGTAGGAGGGGATGTCAATTAAGGGAGTAGGTTAATACAGTACACAAGCAGCTGCTAGTTATGTAGTCAACTATAGCAATAGCAATAGCAATAGCAATAGCAATAGCAATAGCAATAGCTAGTTAGTTGTCAACAATAGCATAGGACATTAGGACAGATTGAAGGGAGAATAGAATTTTGCTCAATGTGCTGAATAGAAAATTCTGATCAAAACTGGATCATTTATATGAAAAATAGTTGGTTATAGTGCATAAAAAGTTTCAATAATTCAAATCAAAATTGAGTTTTTTATAAATTTTTAAAGTTGCTCAATAATTTCGGAGGGCCAAAGCTGTACTATATCAGGGTTATTGGACAAATGCCAAAAATGTAACAAAATGAGAATTCTCTGTTTTAATTTTTCTAATCATGCATGTTTTTCATGATTCAATCACAAAAACCACCACATTTATCTGTAATGAAGCAACACTATTAGTATTACACTAGTGATATATATCTGTATTATAAATTGAGGATACATATATACTGTACTGATAATACTTTAATTTGGCAGAAATTTATTTTGGCAATTGCATGGCAATTTGCAAACAAAATTACCAATATTAACATAATGCACATGCTCAATGACATCGTGCTTGTACCCAAAAATTGTCAAAATAAAGCTCAAACAAAATAAAGTGCTTTGTGTAAATACAACTTATACTGCCGGATAGTGACTTAGTGCATGAATCACAACAAGTGTTTTATTTACTAACATTATAAACCACATTATACATGAATACACACATACACAGTAATATTGAGGATATGCACACTCATGACTAACCATATACCAGTAGAGCATTTATTCAATGTACAGTCATATAATGATAGAGTATGTCTGTGATTGTACACATAATGACTTATCATGTAAGTATGATTACCATGCAGTCCATAGTAAAAATGAGAGAATAGAGCAGGAGAGATATAGACTAAGAGAAACTGATTGAGTGAAGCAGATACTGTCAAAGCAACAGCTGCACTACAACTATAATTTTCTTTATATGTCTCATTTTCTCTTTAAAGAATTGTGTTAGATCATAAATTAAAGAATTAGTATAAATGATTATAAATACCATCTATATAAAATTATCAACTAAAAAGAATGACTTGTATAGTTGCATTGTACTAATTAGATTGAATCTAATCATGACAACAATGCATCAGACTTCCATATTTGGAGAATAAGTAGCCTATGTAAGTCATCATTCACAGCCTGCAAGTATACACTATAGTCTGTCAGTACAGACAGTAGCTATGTCTCTCCTGTTAGTGGTTGTTCTCTTATTCTTCAGTAGCTCCTGCAGTGCCTCCTCTGGTCAGTATTATGTGTCTGATAACTGCAGTTCAGTTACTCAGTCACCTTGTAATCCTTTATCAGTGTATGCTGGGAATATGTCTCAATACAATAACACCATCTTCTACTTCATTGGAACTAGTAGAATCGACTTTACTGTCACAATGGACTCAGTACAGAATATAACTCTACATGGACTGGACCAGTCTCCTACTATTCACTGCTCATCTGGGTCTATAACAGTCAATACTAGCAGTCATGTGAGTTTCAGTAACTTATCATTCCAACGATGCAGCATAGCTTTTGATTATTCCAGTAATATCACAATTACTGGTTCTAGTTTTGAAAACATGTTCTTACCTAGACTCCTCCACAATGTTTTTGATAGCAAGATAACATCTTCAGCTCTATATAGAGTAGTCATATTTATTTATTATGATCCACCTCCAGTGTGTTACAATGAATTACATCATTACTCATTAACACTGACTAATGTTACTATGACTGATGGCAACATACGATTTTCAATGGATCATGGTACCTCATATAATGTATCAATTATTATTAATAATCTCAATATCAACAGTTCAGGAGGTATCAGTGCAGGAGGTGTTGGTTTCTATTTCATAGAATCTCTTTTTTCTGTGTATGCTGCCAATTCATCAGTATCTAATACATTTGATGGATTTGATTCTCAATTTTCTGAAAGCCAGAAATCAAAAGATTGTAACATTAAAGGTGTTGAATCACTATCAACTATTGAAATTATAGACTACCGATCTCACAACAATTGGAGAGGAATACGTTTTATTACAGATGCAAGTTATTTTGAATTTAATAACTATCACGTTGCTATTACTGTAAAATCATGTTTATTAAGTGACAATTATATCGATGGTTTATACATTGATGGAGGTATATTAACATCATCAAATCTTATCAGTGTTATAGATACTGAACTTATTGGAAACCAGAGAAATGTGATAATAAGGAGTATTTCTCTTTTGAATAACATTAACATTACAAATACTCTATCAACAGGACTGGTGATTATATCCTCTGTAGTAACTGTAGAAAATAAATTAGTATTTAAGAATAATACTGGAGTAGTTGGAGGAGGAATGGCAATAAATAGTTCATCTGTTGTGGCCCTATCACCATCAGCTAACTTGGAGTTTATTCATAATCATGCAACTTATAAAGGAGGAGGAATTTATATTGAAGAGAACAGTAAATTTCAATTTAAACAAATCTCCAGCTTTATTCCACTTACATTAAAGGATAATACTGCTGGAGTAGCTGGAAGTGATATATATGGGTTTATCTATCCATTCAGTTATTTCAACTTGACAAATTCTAAAATTAATGTATCAAGCAATCCAGTTAGATTCTTCTTTTGCAATCCTGACACACTAATGACACAGAATCATGATCAATATGCGGAGCAACAAATTTTTTCAGGTCAACCATTGAAATATAATGTTGCTTTGTTTGTATCCACTTCAAATACAGGTGTATTCACCCCGAGAGATGGAGCAGTATTAATAAAAATTGATCAAATATCAATGGCATATGCCCACATCACTGATGATTGTTCATTGATTGAATACAAACCAGGTAGTCTAGCATACACCAGACATGAAATCATGATAGAGGTCATAAATTATCCTTACAAACTTCAATCACATTTCATTTTTAATGAGTGTCCTATTGGTTTCAGTGTAAATAGTTCAGAAGTTTGCGATTGTAGTCAAAGTCTTTCAAGAGAGAATGTGACATGTGATCTAGACAGTCAAAACATTACACACAATGGTCTACTGTGGATTGGAACATATGATGATACCAGTACACCTTTCAATGCTAATGAAACCAATCCTAATGCATGCATTATCAATGAGGACTGTCTCCTCTATTGTTCTCCTAATCCTGTTACCTTCAAGTTGAATGACACTGGTACTCAATGTGTGGATAGTAGAGGACACAGAATGTGTGGATCATGTAGAGATGGATACAGTCTACTAATGGGATCAAACAAGTGTGGACATTGTCATAATAATTACATGATGATAGCTTGGATTGCTCTGTTTGCAGTCATGGGTATACTACTTGTGGTTCTACTCATTGCTCTCAATTTAACAGTATCAGTGGGTACACTCAATGGTCTATTGTTCTATGCTAACATTGTCAAGTTATATGAGCCAGTCTTTTCAAGGAAAGGAGCATTACCAGTCTTGAGTCAAGTGATATCATGGATTAACTTAGACTTTGGGTTTGAAATATGTTTTTACAATGGTATGGACAGTTATGCTAAACAATGGCTCCAGTTTGCTTTCCCTCTCTACCTGTGGATCATTATCATTATCATTATACAATTGTGTAGGAGAAATGGTAAGATATCAAGACTGATGGGGTCTCATGCTGTTCCTGTTCTATCTACACTCTTCCTTCTTTCATACACTAAACTAGTACGTACTATTGTTATTGTACTACACAAGCGTGAGGTAACTCTTCACTGTACAAATGATGAGTCAGTAAGATCAGTTAGTTTATGGTATGAGGATCCTAATGTTGAATATGCTAAAGGGAAGCATGCTGGACTATTTGGATTTGCCCTATTGGTGTCCATTTTCTTTGTCATACCATACACACTGTTCCTTTTACTTAATCCTTTTTATGAAAAGCATCTTTCAAATTTGAAACTCTTAAAAAAAATTTGGGATCGTTTCAAGCCTATTATTGATGCTTATAGTGGTCCAATGAAAGATGAGTATCGGTTCTGGCCTGGTCTACTGCTAGTTGCTAGGATACCAGTACTATTATCAGTTACTTTAGTTGACAGTTTCATTCAGTCACAGCACTTCCTATTGTCAATGCTATTGACAGTGTTAGCTATAGTCCTGTCATTGAGTCATTGTTTTGGTGGAGTTTACAAGAAAAGAATGAACAATGTACTTGAAGTTTGGTTCTTGTTTAACTTATGTATCATGGTTGGTCTATCTGTAGCTCTTAATGAAGATAGCAAAGTATTGATCTGGTACAATACTTGTTTATCTGTTTTTATTTTTAGTTTTATTTTGATTGTTGTTTATCATCTTTACCTGCAGTTATCACCCATGAAAAATTATGATGCTCTAATTAAGAAGTTATTCAAGAAACAAGATGTAGATGATGATCAAGATGTAACTGAATTACATAAAACTGTTGATCAACAAATGAGAGAAATTGTACCAACTTCTACTGATGTTAGACTCAGTGATAGTCGTGAATCAGTTGTTGATTTGTTTTAATCATACTCTTTGCTGCCAGTTCTAATTGTCTATTATTATTATTAGTTACTTAGTTTTAGGCTATTAAAGCAGTGACTAAAGTAAAGTAGTGTTCAATAATAATTTTCATTTAAAGTCTTTTGTATGAGAATACAATTAATAATAATTATTTATTTTTAATTAAGAAGTGATATGAGATTCATTCATCTTTGTACTTTTTGATGAAATTTCATTGAATACATCTGTATACAATAAGATATTAATAATGCACATCCAATATAGTAAACGGTAAGGGCACATAGGTCATAGTTAAGACTAATACTCACCTAATAATGACTCTGAGTCTTTCTCTGATATTTGCTTTAACTGTCTACAAAAGTCATTTAACTGTGTGATGAGGATTATGGTTTACAGAAAGAGGAGGAGAAATAGCTAATCATGCGACTGATTATCTCTCATTTCATAAATATATGATTCCAATATCTCCAATGAACTGTTGCTGGCCTTTAAATGATAATAATGAGCTGTAAGATCTGGAGAGAGAGAGGGAGAAAGAAAGATACTTAATAAAATTAGTTCAAAATATGACACTCTGGGCCAGCATATAGTGCTGATCTTTAGATTCACACAAAATGCTGAATGAAACTTAACTCTATTCCAAGATCAATGTGCGTCTATATAAATGAGGTTTATAGAAATAGGCTATACATGCAAGCATACATATGGACAAGTGGCATTACTGGCATATATAGTAAAGAGTAAGCTATCAACAAACCTTTTAATGGGAGGTCAATCTTATGATACAAATCCCTCATGAACTCTTTATGACTTGTCCTACAAAACAAAAACACATATTACATGGACTCATTAATCATTAGCTATAACTCCCACTACTATATTACATGTATACCAAACTGATACATTATCCAATGCACTTACTTAATGCTAAGAAACAATTCTTCAATGTACTTCACATAATCTTCCATGCTCTCTTTCTGTCTCATTATTTCTGCCTCTTGAGCCTTCAACTTATCATAAAAAAGAAATAGAGATGAGCAATCCATCATAATACACATACTACAGTATACCTGGTCAGCTTGTCTTGATTCTATTATTTCAAGTGATCTTGTATTGTCTCTAACAATGTCTATAGAATTGTGCTATCAATGATTATCAATTGTTGTTGCTCTTTTAGTTATTATTATTGTCACTGTATACCTTTGTTATTTTCTTGTCTTTAGCTAAAGATAATTCCTTTTTAACCATTTCAGTGTCAGTAATATACTCATTAGTCAATTTGTGTGGAGTTTGCTACACAAAATAACAAGTCAATGCACATGCACAGGTACATGAACATGATAATATACACATAATATGTACATGTACTATACAAGTACATGTGTACATGTCTTCCTAGAATACCAATTTGTACAAGTACAAATCTGGAAATTCTAAGAAAAATTCCGAGTCAATGAAAAGTACATGCACATGTACATGTATTCCTAGAACTCCCAATTTGTTCAAGTACTACAAGTACAAAGCAAGACAAATTCAAAAACATGGTCCACCTGCTCACATAAACCACCTCATTCATGAGTAATGAAGGAATACAACCACAAGATCACTCTACTAAAACAAATTAAACTCTCCCTCTTTCCTCTCCCCCCCCACTCTCTCTCTCTCCTCCCTCTCTCTACTCACCCCAGGTATAGCTAGTGATAGGGTCATTAGTTCTTGAGATACAGTTGATAACAGATCCATTGTGCCAGACAGTACTTCAATACTTGAGTGATCCAGCAGTTTATAAAGAGGATCAACCTCCTTTAGAGTAGGCAGTACTGGAGTACACTTTGGTAATAAAGAGAGGGAGGTATGAAGCCTTCGTAACTGGCTATGTAGCTTTGATAATTCACTCTCCATCCAACTCTGGATTTAATAATAGTCATGCATCAGTTACTTCTAAGTTTGATGGGATTATGGGACTCTTTCCAACAGAGTTTTGGCATAGAGTTTGGTTCAAAAACGTAAAATAATGAAAAATTCTTTCCTAGCCAGTTTTGACCAGCTTCTTTTTGAGAAATTTTAAAAATTCATAAAAACCAATTTTGATCAGAATAAGCTCAAACTTTCTACACAACATCAGAAAATACAATAAAAATGGAGATTTCTCAACTTGTCATTTTTGACGAAATTTGACTCATGACCCTGTAACAACGCTGTACTATAGTACAGGGACTTTGGCCCAATTTTTGAGTAACTTTAAAAATTTTTAGAAAATCTAATTTTGATTAGAATCAGCTCAAACTTTCTACACAACATAAGAACATGTATGTGTATCAAATATAATCATAAAAAAACAAAGAATTCTCACTTCATTTTTGGCAAAATTTGGCCAATAACCCTGTACTATTATAGTACAGGGACTTTAGTCCAGTTTTTGAGTAACTTTAAAAATTGTTAGAAAATCCAATTTTGATCGGAATTCATTCAAACTTTTTACACAACATAAGAAATTGTATATATATCAAATAAAATTATAAAAATGAAGAATTTTCATCTTTTAATTTTTGAAAAAATTTGGCACACAATACATTGGCACATGTACTCATCAGTACTCACTATTTCTCTAAGTGACATATTATCTTTGTTAGATAAAGAGTCCAGTATTGTGAGTGGCTTTGATAATCCACCAGTATACACTAAAGGTAGAGCAAGATCTTCTCTGGGACATGAAACCTTGAGAGAGAGAGAGAGAGAGAGATAGGACAGAGGTAGAAGGTTTTTACTTTTTTAAGTCTTTGATTCAACTTTCTCAAACGTGTTACATCTTCAGCAATTGGCTCTTTATTTCTAAAAAATAAATTAAACAAAGAATGCTATTTGCAATT